TCCCGATCGGATCAGCCGTTTAGAAATGCCTGATTTATTTCCAAAAAATTTCCATTCTGCCCCACTGTGCGTTGTTGTTGTTCATTATGTTTTGCTATTGCTATAATAATGATATAGTGGGGAAAATGAATTGTGAAGGGTATATAAGATTCGGCGCAGCCGAATATAGCACTCTTACTTGTTTAATATCAGTTGTGAAACAATTTAAAAATAATGCTGTTGAATATTTATGCCGGTTTTTTAGGACTTAGCAGGTTTTATTTTTCTGAATTTTTATTTTTTTTCTGCACTTAGCACATTTTCTTATAACTTTTCCCTTACATACAGGTTCTATTTTGAATATAATTTGATCTAATTTCACACAAATGTTTTGCCGTGTCTTTTGGACCAAGTGTATAAAATTTAGTAAGTGTAGATTCACGATTTCTCATGCTCCCCATACAAGTGGCTCCTCGGAAAAGAGATTAAAAAGAAATAACTATGATGAGCAGCTAGTAATCGTGATCAAATTTGGACCAAGTTATTTTTATGTATTCAAAAATTATATAGTAAAGAATGGCGGACATCGGGCTTTATTTGATCCTAGTCCCCATATATGTATATTTTATTTTAATGCTCATAAATGCATTAAACATATCAGTAAAGCTTTGAAATTATATATAGACAAAACTTTAATGAACATAAATCGCTACACTAATATTTATGAGTATCGGCCAATATTTTTTATCATAGCTCCCATATAAAGTACCCTTGAAAAAATTACTCTAAGAGTTATAACTGTTTTTAAAATACCCGAATAGAGATGAATTTCGACATGAATAAGATTTTGGGACCCAAAAACTATTTACAACTTTTCAAGAGGATAGGGCAATATTCGACCCTACCCCAACGATTTTAAAGCGCACAACTAACTGGCTTAAAATAGAAGTATAGCGATGCAATTTAACGTTAACAAGTTTTAAAGAAACAAAATTTCTTTACTAACTACCATGAGATTCTGTTCATAATCTATATATATAAAATTCTAACGTTACTGACTGACTGACTGACTGATTCACTGACTGATTCATCATCGCACAGCCTAAACGGTTGAAGCTAAAGAGCTGAAATTTGGACAGGAGGTTGGTCTCCCGCCAAATAGATCCACTAAGACGGGATTTTTGGAAATTCGAATGTTTAGGGGTAAAAAAGGGTAAAAACGGGTAAATTCGGTAACCTTATATCTCCTAAACTAGAAAAGATACAAAAACAGTTTAAAGCTTATCGCCGTTCATTTAAAAAATAAACGGACAGGTGTCTGGTACTTTTTTAAAATTCGGCCCCTTTAGGGAATAAACGGGTAAAAACTGTATTTTGGTACTTTTTTCGCACCCCATGTATCTTTTAAACCAGTGCACATTCAAAAAATATTTTTGACTCCTTCATAACTTAACGAAAAAATGAAAATATGAATTTAGTACTTTTTGGATATTTGGACGTTTAAAGGGTTAAAATTGTACCTATTTTTGGTACTTTTTTCATAAAACATTGTTTTTGGTTTATTAACTTATACATATGAATACATAATAACGGGCTCCCACTACGATGTTGCAACTTTTTGGAATAGAATTTTTATTTCGTTAATGGGGAGGAAAAAAGTACCAAAAGGGGTAAAAACGGGAAATTTGATTTTATTCAACCACAATGATCCAATTTAGATAAAATTTTTAAATTTAGAAACACTAAATATCCTAATGGGGTGTTATTTGGAACCCCGGTACCAAGTGATATTTTTTGGTACTTTTCATTCTCCAACTGGTCCTTTTTGAGTTTTCTATGATATTGAAATAGAAACATGAAATTAATAATACACAGGTACTTTTTTGAGTTTTCTTTAAAATTAAACCTAGAAACATGAAATTAAGCATGTAGAGCTCGGAGTAAATGAGAATCTATAAAATGGGACTTTTTGGTACTTTTTCGGTCTTCAAAAGGTACTTTTTGAATTTTCTATAATATTGAACCTAGAAACATGAAATTAAACATGTAGAGCCCGGAGTAAATGAGAATCTATAAAAGGGGACTTTTTGGTACTTTTTCGTCCTTCGACTGGTACTTTTTGAGTTTTCTATAAAATTTAACCTAGAAACATGAAATTAAGCATGTAGAGCCCGGAGTAAATGAGAATCTATAAAAGGGGACTTTTTGGTACTTTTTCGGTCTTCAAAAGGTACTTTTTGAATTTTCTATAACATTGAACCTAGAAACATGAAATTAAACATGTAGAGCCCGGAGTAAATGAGAATCTATAAAAGGGGACTTTTTGGTACTTTTTCGGTCTTCAAAAGGTACTTTTTGAATTTTCTATAATATTGAACCTAGAAACATGAAATTAAACATGTAGAGCCCGGAGTAAATGAGAATCTATAAAAGGGGACTTTTTGGTACTTTTTCGTCCTTCGACTGGTACTTTTTGAGTTTTCTATAAAATTTAACCTAGAAACATGACATTATGACATGGGACTTTTTGGTACTTTTTAGTCCTTCGACTGGTACTTTTTGAGTTTTCTATAAAATTTAACCTAGAAACATGAAATTAAGCATGTAGAGCACGGAGTAAATGAGAATCTATAAAAGGGGACTTTTTGGAACTTTTTCGTCTTTCGACTGGTACTTTTTGAGTTTTCTATAAAATTTAACCTAGAAACATGAATTTAAGCATGTAGAGCCCAGAGTAAATGAGAATCTATAATAGGGGACTTTTTGGAACTTTTTCGTCCTTCGACTGGTACTTTTTGAGTTTTCTATAAAATTTAACCTAGAAACATGAAATTAAGCATGTAGAGCCCAGAGTAAATGAGAATCTATAAAAGGGGACTTTTTGGTACTTTTTCGTCCTTCGACTGGTACTTTTTGAGTTTTCTATAAAATTTAACCTAGAAACATGAAATTAAGCATGTAGAGCCCGGAGTAAATGAGAATCTATAAAACGGGACTTTTTGGTACTGTTTCGTTCTTCAAAAGGTACTTTTTGAATTTCCTATAATATTGAACCTAGAAACATGAAAATAACTATGTAGATCCTGGATTAAGTGAGAACCTATAAAAAGGGACCTTTTGGTACTTTTTCGTTCTTATTGGATTTTTGTATAATATGGAACCTAGAAACGTGAAATTAAGCATGTAGAGCCCGGAGTAAATGAGTATCTATAAAAGGGGACTTTTTGGTACTTTTTCGTCCTTCGACTGGTACTTTTTGAGTTTTCTATAAAATTTAACCTAGAAACATGAAATTAAGCATGTAGAGCTCGGAGTAAATGAGAATCTATAAAAGGGGACTTTTCGTTCATCCAAAGGTACTTTTTGAATTTTTTATAATATTGAACCTAGAAACATGAAATTAAGTATGTAGAGCCTGGATTAAGTGAGAACATATAAAAGGGGACTTTTTGGAACTTTTTCGTTCTTCAAAAGGTACTTTTTGGATTTTTGTATAATATTGAACCTAGAAACGTGAAATTAAGCATGTAGAGCCCGGATTAAGTGAGGACCTATAAAAGGGGACTTTTTGGTACTTTTTCGTTCTTTAAAAGGTACATTTTGAATTTTCTATAATATTGAACCTAGAAACATGAAATTAAGCGTTTAGAGCCTGGATTAAGTGAGAACCTATAAAAGGGCACTTTTTGGTACTTTTTCGTTCTTCAAAAGGTACTTTTTGTGTTTTTTATAATATTGATCCTAGAAACATGAAATTAAGCATGTGGAGCCCGCAGTTAATTAGAATCTATAAAAGCAATCAGGGACTTGAGTGAATGAAAATTTAAACTGGAATATTTTCTGGTACTTTTTGAATTTTCTATAATATTGAACTTAGGAACATGAAATTAAATAAAATAGGTTTTTTGGTACTTTTTCGTACTTCACTTCACTTAAAAACATAAAATTAAACACGCAGTATCCCAATTGAACGAAAATTGAAAAAGGATACTCTGGTACTTTTTTGTTCTTTTACTAATACTTTTCGAATTTTCTATAATATTGAACCTAAAAACATAAAATTACATGTAGCTTCCTGATTGTATAAAAATCTTTATGCGATTTTTTTGGTTTCTGGTTAAAAATTAAACATGCGTTATCCTGATTTAATGAAAATATATAAAAAGGCACTGTCTGGTACTTTTTAGTTCTTCAACTGTTTTTTTTTTAATTTTCTGTAATATTGAGACTAGAATCATAAAATCAAACTTAAAGAGTTCTCTAAAAGGGGAATTTTTGATATTGCAGATATATATACATTTACAATAATGATATTTATTTTATTCCATTACGATGAGGGTAGCGAAGCACACTGGGTATAGCTAGTTTACATATAAGTTTTTAACTTCTACTCCCCGCAAATACCCGGCTACACATACCACAGCAAAAGTACATTTTTAAAGTAAAACTAAGGTAATTTTTTGATTGTAACATCGTCAGTATATTATTGGTTTGACCCACCGACCATTTAAAAAAAATTGAGTTAGAATTGTATATAATTTGGACATCCTCTTTCCGATTCCGAAACCCATTTTTCAATATTTCCGAGATATCGGGTGTTAACTTTGGTCTATATCCACAGTTTTAAGACTAAATAAATATTGTTTTGCTCCATATGCCACTGTTTAGCGTATAGACCACAATTTTCATACAAAAATTGAAAACAAATTAATCACTATTGTTTTGCTTCACTGCCATAACAAAAACGTAGATCAAAGCACACATTACAAGGTGTTTTTAAAACTCTTGTTTACATTATTTGTATATGGATTTTGACAGATCTATTTCACTGATTGTTATTTTCCAGCATACATAATTTGACAGTTTTTGTATACATATAAAATATGTGCTGGTCTGGTAACACCATCTTAGAAAATTTAGTGAAAATTTTGCACATAAACAACAACAATTCATAAATAATTTGAGTGCCGAAGTAAAAAAATGCAATTTTCATTACCAGCTCCGTTTTTTTTTTTTTTTTTTTTTCGAAGAAATTATTAATTAAGTGGTATTTAATTGTTTATCTGACATTTTGTTATAGTTCCATGCCATTAGGATGTTTGATGAAGATTTACTACCTATAAAAACACCCATCAGAATGTTCATCCAACATGGCAGATTGCGAATGTATTATGGGATATAGAAATAGGTAACTAATATTTTTAGGTTTTTGGAATACTTATAGAAGAATATTATCCTTTTTAGCTTGCAGTGCCATCAAATTCTAAAAAAGAACTTAATTTTCTATGGAAATAACGATTTACTGTAGCTGTGAACTCAAAATTACGAAAGAAAAATTAAAAAAAATCTTGGGACACCGGTGTCCCATATACATACGTGAAAGAGATATATACCAATATTCAAACCATTTGGTTGAAACATTTTGGTTACTGTAGAACGTTCTTATTTCGATTTTCATCATTATAATGGCATTTTTAAGCCTATAGTTAAAGTATAGTTATATTAGGGGTAGGGTCACTTAGGGACCCTACCCTATAAAACTAGTTTTTGTTGAATTTCATCGCTATACTGGTATTTCTAAGCCAGGTTTGACTATTTAAACTGTATTCTGGGCGGACACTTATGTATGTATATGGGGCTGTGGGTGAAATTGTCCGATACTGTCCATTTTCAATACCAAGCAACCTACATTAATAAAAAAATATTTGTGAAAAATTTCAGCCTTCTAGCTGTTTTCGTTCGGATCTTTTTCGATGGTGGACATAAAAAAAACTCATTTTGTGTGGATATAGAAAGGGTATAAAAGGGAAAACAAAAATAAAAAATTTATAAGATACACGAATTTTTGTTTTCTTTAAAATCTTAATAACTTTTTTTAAATTTTACATAACGGTGTGTAAATCTATAATTTTGTTAAAAACATATGTCGAAATCAAGTGTGAAAATTTAAAAAATATATACCACGTAAATTTTGAGAAAAGTTTATAAAACCTTCTTATTCGTTTTTCTCAATAACAAGTATTTGGCGTATGGGTCAAACCAATAATATACTGATGACATGTGTATTTTAAGTTATACTACCATTCTGTATTAAAATCTCAATAGTGTTAGTGTTTATTTTAATTTATTTTTATATTTAATAAAGTCTCTGCAAGCAACTCAACTAACTTTTAATGCATTATAAGTTAGTTTTTTCTCAGCTAGTTGTGGTTGACTCTTAGATTATTTTCAATGAAGCGAACTGACTATTTTAATATAGGGGTGTCATTGGCAGTAGTCAATTGTCCGACTCTGCATAACTTTTCAACTAACTTAGAGTCAGTTATGTAATAGTTAGCTTAAAGTTAGCAATTTTTTAACCAACTTAAAGTTGGTTATTCAAAGGTTAGCTTAAAGTTGGCTAATTTTTATATAACTTAAAGTTTGTTATTTAAAAGTTAACTTTAAGTTGACTAATTTTTAGCTAACTTAAAGTTAACTTAAAGTTTGCAAATTTTTAACTGATCTATAGTTATTTATAGAAGAATTATAGTTTTATTAGCAATAAGTTCACTTTTGAATTAAACTGTTAGAAAATTACCTGATTTTTACCTTTGATGATTTACCTATTTGAAAAATTATAATATTGAACCCATTTTAATTTTTTAAACAATTTTATTTATTTAATTTAGGTAAAAAGCTTAAAAAGAAAACAAAAATATATATATTCTTATAAAAAAAAAACAAAACAATTAGGTCCCAATAAGCAAAAACCTTTGAAATGATGTAAATATGTATTTGAAAACCTATTCAAATTTCATACATAGCCTTTGAGAACAAATTTGAAAATTTTTGTTTTCAAATGGAAAATTATGGCCTTCTCAAACAAAAAGGCAGTTAGAAATCAAACGTATTTTTCAAATGTATTTCAAATTTAAAAAAAGGCTAGAGGTAAGCTTGAAACTAAAAAAAATTTCAAACGTATTTCAAGTATTCTTTATTATTATTTTCATACATATTTCAAACCCTAATTATAATGCTAACTATTGCAAAATTCATATATTTTTTTACATCACCTGAAAATAAAACATTCATACATTTATTTTAGCATATTTTTCTTTTATATCTCCGATTATTTCTCCTATATTTAACGTTTTTTCGCTCCCTTGCTGTAGAAAAAATGTTCTGTTTTTATTTTTCTAAAATAATTTATTTTTTGAAAGAAACTTTTCTAAGTTCAATTAAAACAAAACTTTGAAAATTTTATAAATATGTATCACACATTATATTTTTTAAGCGTTTTTTTGAAATTATCATGTTTATTTCAAAGGCTAAACTTTAAAATTTGAAAACAATTTGGAAAGTACATTATTTAGTTAAGAAAATTTTCAAAAATATTCACAGGTTTGAATCGATGTTTATTGGGGTAATTCATACATAACATATAAATAAATTTAAAATGTACACATACATATACAGAAATTAACTTGTTCTTTTATTTTTTATACATTCTGCATGAATTTGGCGTTTCTTAATTATATTCAAGTCATTTCTTATGTATTTTTCGGCATCATCAGACCCAAGCAATCGACAAGCATCTACATATTTAAAATATATGTATGTAATTGGAAATACATGTACATTTCTTTATAATATGTATATTCCCTTCAAACATTTAAAAGAGAAAACTATTGCGCATCACCCCAGACGCCACGTCAGAAACACTTCTGGACGATTGTCAGACGAGAACGCACATTTTACAAAAACAAAATACATTGATTTCGAATTTTCGTCTTCTAGAAATATACTTTTAAGTTACTTCCGGATGATAGTTAGAAGAGTGCATCCATTTTGCTTAAACAAAAAACCATGTCTGTTGAATTTTTTTCATCTGGAAGTATACGTTTTAGTGACTTCTGTAAGAGAGTTGGGTGAGAACACACATTTTACAATAACAAAATACATTGTTTCCTAATTTGTATCTTCTTGATTTGTACGTTTATGTCACTTCTGGAAGACAGTTTGAAGAGTGTTCACATTAATGTTGTATTTTATTCATCTGGAAGTGTGGATTGTAGTCACTTCTGTACAATTGTCAGACGAGAGCACACATTTTACAAAAACAAAATACATTGATTTCTAGTTTTCGCCGTCTGGAAGTATACTTTTAGGTTACTTCCGGATGATAGTAAGAAGAGTACAAAAACAAAAAAATATAAATACTCCATTTTTTAGCGTGAAAAAAAAAATAAAAATAAATAATGCAGAAATTTTGCTAAGTTCAGTGATGTTTTGTGTTTTGTTCAGTCATGTTCAGTTTTAATTATTCATCGTAAAACTTAAATGAGTTATTGAATTTAATGTTCATAGAAAAATAGTGTAATTAAAATATTGTGAATCTTAAGTAATAAAAAACAATATGACAGTGTTGTGTTAAAAATCAACTGTTAATAAACATTTAAGAAGGTTTTCTCAATTGGCGAAGTGTATTAAATATATACCAAAAAGTATAAGGAAGGATTATATAAATAAAATTAAAAAGTAAGTTGTCATATTAAAATACTATTTTAGGAATATGTTAACAACTCTAAACGGCTTCCATTTCCATTATTTTCAAAAAAGTCTAATATGTTTCATTAAAAATGTTTTTATATTAAATTTCGACTCTCTCTTAATTCGTTTAGGAGGTATAAGCATTTAAAGACTTTTTCAAGTTGTACATTTCGGCTTTCATTTGATGAACATTGCATTTTTAACATATTTAGATTTATTTGAGTTAAATCTTAACTTTCAATATTTTTAAAACTATTTGCGCATTTAGGTCTGGAATCATTATATTGAAATTAATACTACTGTTTTATACATAAATTATTTTTTGACTTGGGTCACTCGACACGAAATTGCCCATATAAGATATTTAATATTGAAACCAGATAGTTTTAAACCCACCTTTCTTAAATAAATACAATTTTATTAATTTTCATATAGCTTTGGATTTAATTATTCTAATTATAGGTACTTTTTTAGTTATTAACACCAGGTCTTTCTATGACCTATCATATGATACTAATATTCTTAATATTTAGCATGCCGTTCCCAAGATATTGAACCTAAGTATTAGAAGAGAGCAAACAAAAAATAGTATTGCAATATTAGTGTCAAAAGCAATATCCCGTTTAGGGTCGTTAAGGTGTTTCTATCGTTAGTGACTGTAAATAATTTAAACAAGTAAGAGTGTTATATTCGGCTATGCCGAATCTTATATACCCACCATCAAAGCTCGTTTGACTCGAATGAAACTTACTTATGTCGAATTTCATCTATATATTCGTATTATTAGGCCAGTTATAAGCGTTAAAGGAATTTTCTGAAGGGGACCTTATATGGGGGGTAGGGTCAATCATGGACCGATCAACATAACATTTTTTAGATAGATTTTGACTCGTATGAAACTTACTTATGACGAATTTCATCTATATACTAGAATTTTTAAGCCAGTAATGAGCGTTAAAGTCATTTTCTGAAGGGGACCTTATATGGGGGGTAGGGTCAATTATGGACCGATCCTCATAAAATTTTTGGATCACAAGAAACTTACTTATGTCGAATTTCATCGCTATATTCGTATTTTTAAACAAGTTATGGCTGTTAAAGCTGCTTTTCGAGGGCCACTTGTATGGGGGCTATCCGAAAACGTGGACCGATATTGCCCATTTTCAATACCAAACAAACCTACCTATAAGAAATATTTATGTGAAATTTCAACCCTCTAGCTCTTTCCATTCGACTCTATCGTGCTTTCAACAGACAGACAGACAGACAGACAGACGGACGGACGGACGGACGGACAGACATGGCTAGATCGTCTTAGAATTTAATGAGGACCCAGAATATATATACTTTTGTGGGTCTATGACCAATATTTCGATGTGTTACAAACGGAATGACAAAATCAATATACCCCCCATCTTTTTTGATGGTGGGTATAAAAATAATCCATGACTTAGTAATTTCAGATCTTTATAGACGGTTTAATTCCAAGTTATTGAAAAAATGTTCATGAAAGGTAATGTTTTTATTGATTCAAAACAATAAATAAATAAATTAATTAATTTTTAATTATTTTATTTTTTAGAAAGCAGTAGCTAATATTGTACCCCCTATTAAAATACTTCTAACCGAATTAAAATATAAAAAAGGGATCTGGTAAGTTATATATGTCTTATTTCATCACGTGGTTCAATTAAAAATGTCGATTATTTGCAGAAAATGTAAAAAATGGATCTGACCGTTTAAACTTTGGTGGTAAATGTATTGGACATGAGAGAATCCTATTTTTATTGCTTCCTAAAGTTAACTGGTAATTTCAATAAATATTCAATATTAATTATAAGATTATTTTGGTTTATTTCGTTGAAGGATTAATGCGTTCCATAATATAACTCTTACAATTTGATGGATTAATCATAAAATTGATGAAGAACTACAAAAATATTTTAGAGTCCA